TTTTTGTTTTGGAACAATAAATTATTGATTTGAGGATAAATAAATAGTTCTGAAACACCCGATATTGATATGCAACAATACTGCCAATTGTGCAACTATCACGCAAATTGTGCAACAAAAAATAATTATTTTGAAACAGGGCTGAACAAATGTACAAATCTATTTGTTATAAAAAATAAGTAATTGTTGTGTAAACTAACTGTAACGATTAAATATTAATTTAACTTATTAAATAAAATTAATTAAAATAAAAAATTGATGTTAATTATACTTCCTTTAACACAGTTCTGTGAAATCAACCAGAAAAGAGCTGTCACCTAACGATTACTTGTTAAAATTGATTTATTGTTGTTTTTTTATCACTATCAAACATCATATAGTGGTTTAATATACCAAATTAATATAGAAATATAATGAAATGGACTATAACAAAACTTTGAATCACAATACTTGGTGTTGTTGAAAATTTCTATTGAACATGCAATACTTTCATAAAACAGAAGAGTTATTATTCGCAGATAAATAAGTGAAACAAGTTTGTTCATCATTGATGCATAAACAGAGTGTTTGAAACAAATTTACTGTAATTGTGTGCATTCTATTTTTTAATCTTTTTGAATATTTTATCAAAGCTATTATTGAATCATAAATTTACAATAATTATAAAAAATTTATTTGATTGAAAATCATCAGTTAGTTTGTTTGTTGGTGTGTTTTAATATAAATCATAATTAATTTATTGTAAATTAACAATTGTGATATTATTATGATAATAATTATTAATTTTATTAATTAACAATCATTATTATAATTATTAATTTTTATATAAAATGTTAAAGAATATTATATATAAATACCATAAAAAACAAGTCGATAATAAGTCTTTGCCAAAATTTTACAAACTTAAATGTTTGGCGAATTTTGAGAAAGGTAAAAATTTGCCAAATTATAATTGTAGTGAAAAAATTATATTTTTTAGTTAACTCAATTTAGATATATCGATTCCCTTATATGTATAGAAAAATATATTTTAATTTAAACATAATAAAATAATATATTATTTGATATTTTTTTCGATTGTGACGACTTTATGGGAATTAACAAAAATTTTTTTAAAAAAAAACTTTACCATATTTGTAAAATGCCGAAACAAAAAATGAACAATTTATAATGAATAAAAAACATAAAATCACTTATATTTGAATTATTGAAATTAAAATATGTTATTTTTTTTATTAAACCACTTTTTGACTTTTTTGTTTGTTTGAGTATTTGATGATTTACATTGTAAGTTGTATTGTAACTGTTTTATTTGATAAATTATTGTTTAATTGATTGTTGTCAATCAAAACAACTTTTCATAATTTTATTGTTGACATCTTTATATTTACAACAGATGTTGTGTTTAAACCTTGGACTTTTAATACAATCAATTTATATATCTTATGTGCATGTACATGTGAGCCTTAAGTCATAACATAAAATTTTTGTAAATTGTTGTCTTAGTCTTAGTGTTATCATTTAAAGTTTAATTTGATTTTACATTATCTTACTTAAAAGATACGATATTTATATTTT